GCAAGTTGATCACGATTCATACCTGTAATAAATGCACAAAATTATGAAATCACTCAGAAATAAAGCCAGCAGGTGTCAGCACTGGTCTGCACATGTGGAAAACAAATCTATCCCTGCTTGGGAAGCTGTTCTTTATTTTTGTTTTTAAACCTGTATAGCTGAATAGATGTGTACATGCAGTTGGGGATAATTTCACTTCATTAGCTCAGTTTACTGGAAAAGTAATATCTTGTTCAGATGAAAAAAATACTTAATGTAAACGATGACCAGTTCAGCAAGAGCTGGACTAAAGAAATAAAATATATTACAGTTTATGTTACAGTTCATCATTCAGACATAAACTTTGTATTTATAGGTCACTTTGTACTTTAGCTAAAGGAAAAAAAAAATTTTACGCTGATCAAAACTGAAGCATTTCTTCAAACATTCTAGAGCCGATTTTTCTTGGTGACTGATACAGGACCCTCTCCTCTCCCTTTCCAATCTCCAGCTTTATTTTAGCATTATGTTTTGGCACTGCTTCAGGAGCTGCTCCGTTTGGCCGCACAGCAAGGCAGTGATGAAAATCAAACACCAGTATCTGAAATATTGGTATCTTGATTATACTTGCATCAAATACATTACAAACATAACAGAGAGGTCACCACAGAAACATCTACATTCTATTTAGTTACACCAAATGTCAGCTGGGTTGATTCGTTAAAATATAGATAATGTCTTTTACTTACAGCTTCACAGTGATTCTGATGGTGGAAAAGAAAAACATAAGTAGTCTCTCACATCTGTTGTTTTGTTATTGTGACCAGGCTCACTGAATGAAATGGAATTACTCTGGGTAATAAATTGAAACCCATGGAACAAGAAGGAACTATTAACACAATTAAGGGCAGAGAACTTTTTTTTTTTTTTTAACCTTTTACAAATGCCGTACCACACACTTATTAGACTAAAAAAAGCATTTATTATAACAGATTTATAAATATTGTATGTCACTGTTAAATAGCTAACAAGGCTCACTTTAACACCAACGTTTAGTATAAAACAGATGTTACAAAGCAATCCTTTAGGGCATGCATTGATTGTAAAATAATCTCATAAGTCACTATCATTCCATTATGTATTCATCCACTGTTATTTTTATTCAAGAAGAGTGATGCATTAATATAAATAAGTTTAAATGCTCACTGTCTTCAAATAGATTCTGGGTATTGGCATACAGAACTGAGTCTAGTAAAAGAAAAAAAAAAAAACCACCAAAAAAAACAGAACACCACTTAGCACTATACTTACAAAGTGCTTCTGTGTATCAGACCTAATTTTCATCTTGAGAATGCTGAATGAAATCAAAAGGTGCAGATGACATTTCAGCTTCAACCATTACAATTTATGTAACGCAAATCTAAGTGGCAAGTGTTAATGTAGTTATGACAGTCTGTTTAAGTGCTAAGAAGTTAAAGCAAAGCAGATCTCAGACTATATTAATCAAAAATGCCAAGACATATCTAGCATCTGACTTCACCTAAACAGAACTCACAGTGCTTCAAATATGTTGACAAAATTTATCTTCCTAAATGAAGGCTGGGGACATCACTGAGAACTACAATCCCATTTTTCTAATGAAGTTAATAGGTTTGGGATTCCACCTTTGACTCTCTGTCAAGACTTGAATGACACTGCCAGCTTTAGTGAAATCTGGTCATTCTTACAATTTCAGCTTTTGTCATGGGGTTCATATCACCATGAAAAAACAGAAGACCATTGTTTTATTATTAGGTGAGCAATGTAACATTTCAGTTGCAGATATGGAATTTGGGGTTTAAACAATACGGGTTTTGCCTCCTACATTTTAAGTATGACATCCATTGTTTCCTCTGCAGTTATCCTGACAGTCTATATGAAAATATTTCCTTGATTCTTTAGTATCTTTTTTTCATCTTGTTTGGGAAAAAACAAAAACCCAAAACAATAATAATGTGAGACTAATTTTTTTCCACTGAAGAAGGCAATAAGTTAATATATTAAAAGAGCAAATGTGATCCTGTAACAGGCAACATCACCGTTTTCATATATATTCTTCTGTATCACTGTCCAAAAATACCAGCTAGGAGTAAGGGAACATGGAAGATTTTCTGTTTTGTTTTAGGTTTTCATTTGTTTGTTTTTATTTCCAAAATACAGTCTAACCTTGTGTTTTTAAGCCGTCTTATATAATTTTTTCACATCCCTTCAACACATTTAGTATGCCTAAATATTGATTCTGGGAAGAATATTTTTCATTCATCTGGTTGTGAAAAATCAATAATATTTTCGTTCCTTTGCATAGAATCTAGGTGACTTTTCCCCATATTTAGTCTTCTACTATTAGCAACTTACAAAATTGCAACTGAATGATTTAACAGAGAGCTCTGAGATTAAATTAGGTAACAGACTGCAATCACTTTGCCACGAGTAGGCATTGAAGCCATAAAAGATTTGCAGCTGCTTAGCACATTTGAAAAATCCAGTTCCTTCCTTAAAAATGTAAACATGAATTTTCATTAAGCAGCATTTAGAAACAACTCAGAAGATTACTGCTAACAGGCAATTCTATAATGACCAAGCCTATATAAATAATAGCACAGTACTTTTAAAGAATGTTTCTTAAAAGTGTCATATAAAAATTCCCCTTGTAAGGACACTTTTAAGTGGTCTCTAATGCACATCAGAACTGGTCTATACTGAGCAGTAGCTTTTATACAAACATGGTCTGTGAAGTCCTCCCCATGCTCCCACCTCACATCAATATGAGCAAGCATCCCTGCCTCTGTAACAAACATGGAAGCAAATTAGGAATGAAAGCTATTGAAATTACTTGGCAATTCAAGGGAAAAAAATCTGCCCTTTTCCTTATAGCAGTTCCTTTGCTATTGCCAATGCAATCACAGATTTTCAAAGTAACGTTTGTTCAGTCTGCTTTTTCACATCTACAAATTCCACAAGATGCATAAGCGCTCCAAAATTACACTGGTTTTACCTCACTACCTGTACCCAGATGGGAGAAATTAAATAACGGAATATAAATATACATAGTTTTATCAAAACTCACCATAAGATAAACTTCTGAGAGTTACCTTGGTGATTATTTTAATAACAGGTGTAGAAAAGGAAGGTTTATCTAGATCTTATTGTATCTGCAAAATAATCAGACACTCAGACATATGAACTTCACAGAATAGTTAGCAAAGGATAGAATAGTTGGCATATGGTAAATAAATAAATAAGCTTACACATTAATTTTTATACTCAGAAAATAGAGATTTTCTTTAGATTGCCAACAGGCTTACAGTTAGACCCCTGTCTGTGCTGGGCAAGCTGTGGAAGAACTATATTAGGCCCTTAACACAATGCTACAGAAACCTTGATAATGCAATTTCAATTAAGGGAAACAGACCATGGGCAAATAAAGCTGTTAAGATTTAGAACCTCCCCTCTTCTGAGACTCAAGCAGTCTGTGATAGAGCCAGTGAGCAGGTACACACAGCATCCAACTGCTACAGTCACACACAGGATCCTGGCCTTTCTTCATACACCTCTAAGGACAAGATCAAGCCTCCCACTCAAATCTTGGAGCTTTTTGGGAGCACACATCTCAAGGCATAAATTGGACTTTTTGCCCTTACAGCAGCTAGGACTGCAAAATAGTTAAATTCCTGTTCAAGTTAGATTCTGTTGCTTCTTTGTATATCAAGTAAAATTTCCATGTGATTTACATGCATTTTTGCCACATGTGAAGTCATGCAAAAATAGGAAGTACGACAAAACCATGAGCTCTTCTTCATCCTGCAGTCTTAATTACAAAGTCTACACTCATCTGTCCTGAAGAATTTGAGGTCGCCTGCACATCATCATACATTACCCACGCAGACTGTTCCACCTGCTCACCACATGCTGTGGCTCAGGGTTGAAATGGAAGGTGCCATTTCATGCAGGGTGGGCACATATGCATCTCTGTGAAGCACCAGAACGACTGTATTACTAAAATATGTTTCTACTTCTACTATAAATGTAAGGCTCTTCACCAGCTGCACTTTGTGTAAAATATTCGCATTTTCACAGTAGGCATCTCTGAAAAAGAGCGATGCTAAACTTTTTGTAATTTTGCCTGTGAAAGAAGTTTCCTTCTCCTAAAGCTGTTACTGAGTACTTTTCACTGGGAAACTGTTTGGAGAAAAAGTGTAAAAACAACATATCAGTGTGCAATGAATCGGTATGGCAGGGAGTCACAACGTTAATTTACACGCTAGTAAAATGAGCAGGTTTGTAAATGACCTCCAGTTCTGCCTCTGGAGTGCCAACAGCTAATGTTCCCAGAAGAAATCAAAGACCACAGGTCTATGCTCTAAAAGGAGGATAATTTACTTCTTTTTAGATGTCTGATGCAGTATAAGGACAGGAAAAGTAAGGGGAATAAAGACTAAAAAGAGTAACGCCTCTTTCCTCCCCCCTCGACTCACAACAGTAGAGAGAAGTGGACTATCATCTACAGTGCAGACTTCTAACTGTGACCTGGCTGTTCGGGAAAGCAGCTTTCAGTCCTCCTTGCCTAATAACTCCTCTTCACAGCTGGGCTAAGACCTCTCAGGATCATCAGATGTGAACACGGGGACAGGACATAGGCTAGTGACAAGGAGCACAATACTTTTCAAAGGAAGACATTAACACAGTCATAACACCATTTCACAGTAGTCACTGAGCACAAGGAGAGCTTTTCTTCTTGGTCCAGTCTTAGGATATGGCAACCCAATCAAGCTTCAAAGCTTCTACCCAGGCAGTTTGCTAATGCATGCATTGCTCCAGTTACTCTCTAATCTTTGCAGTGAAGACTGCATAAGTCAGTGCCAAAAAAAAACTTTCAGAACTTTTAACCGATTTGGGGAGTTCGATTAGGGTAGCTGCAAGTACTTATTTTCCTGCTACCCAAATATTGCAGTGCCCATCAATAAAGACAAGGGAGCCTCAGAGGGGTTTCAAAATATCTATTTAAAACATTATCTTCCAGAAACAGAATAATTCGCTTTATAACTGTAGATGAAAGCATCATCCCGTACCCAACGACATTCTAAAATCAGTTAAGCTTTTATTTGGGAAAAAATAAGTAGCATCTAGAAGTGTCTCAACTATCCATAAAGTTATTTGATTCCATTGAAGGAAAGCAAACTTTATAGAGGTCTTTATTCTCTGTTTCTTTCTCCTGTGCCTAAATTATGGTTAAATTAAATTTATGCCTAAATTATTTCAGGCCAAACTTGGTATTTGTAGTGGAGTACCTGTCACACACTACAGTCAAAACACAAGGTCCCTTTGTGATAGGCACCATCATAAAGAAGCTGACTGCTCCTTCAAATAGCTTATGAACTTTAAGTATACAAAGTTATAGATAAGACAGACTGCGTGAGCAGAAGGTGTTATGGTTAACGTAACAAGCTATGGTCAGAGCTGAATATGGTTCTGCATGGAAAGAATATATTCAAGATTGCTAATTAATGCCTTATGGTCCTTTCCTGTCTTGTCTTTCTAATTAATTATCTTTGTAATTAGCAACCAAATCAAATTTCCAAAGACCACTGTACTGTAAACCTTTCTAAAGCCTCTGCTTCTGTGTTACGTTACCCTGCAGCAAGTTATTCTCACTCTCAAAATTAAAGTGCTTTGGAAATGTGTTATTTAATAGCTGCTTATTGGTAGTCACCATAGAGAATCTAAAAATGATCCAATTTTCAATTGCTTTGAAGAGAGCTACTTTGTAGTAACTGTACAGCAGGGATCAATCCTACTTTTAAGCATTAGGAAAGAAAACATGAAAAACAAAATATTTGCCATGTTCACTTAAATGTTAATAATTATTAGTTATCATATTAAGCTAAGCACCAATGAATTAAAGCCTTTTCATTTCTCTCATAGCCTTTTTGTTCTCGTATTTACTCCCAACTACCCACATCCAAGTGCTTGTACCTTCTTTGTGTTCCTGAATTTGGAAAGCTCACAGTCCTGCTTTTCCTACAACTCCCAGACAAAGTGCCACAATACAACAAACTTTCTTCTCTGAAGAAAAAAAAAAAACAAAAAACAAAAAAAACCCCACCACTTATCCTACCTCCTGATTCTAATTTATCATCATTATTTTCAGTATTCAGTTCTCCTTAAACATTCTGCTGAACACTTAGAGAATGCACAGTTGCTTTTCTAATACCTGTGAAGCAGTATACAAAATCTTAGAACAGTTTACCAGGGAGTAATAATAGCTCAGCCATAAATGTAAATGCCAAATAATAGATTGCTTGGCTGCTTGTTGTGGACTTTTATTTCCTCCCAGTTAATCAGAAATGCTTAATTAGTGCTAATTAAGTATTTTGAAGCTCAAGGATCAAGGTCATTTAGAAGTGCATATCTCTGCTAATATTTCAAAAAGAGAAAAATACAACAACAAAAACACCAGACAATGCTTAAAAGTAACCTGGGGGGGGAAAGGAACTGTGTTTCTACCCTAATTTAGAACATGGGTACATCTGTGGCCTGAAGCAGTTTATGCTTTGCACTGGGCATTCCCATAAGTGGCTGTGCTTCAGCTCTGACCTCACTATTGCTTTAGAGCCTGAACTTTCAACCTTTACACAGCTCTGACTCCCTGCAGCGTGCTTTACAGCGCAAAGCAGCAATACCTGTGTTGTACATTTACCTTGGTATTAGTACTGCCATATTTAACATATGTCTCTGCCTAGGTTTAAGCAGGCTATCCCTAAGTGCAGCACTGTATTAAAGGAGCCCAAATGGGTTTCTATCACACTTCAGTATGCTTCAGTTATTAGATTAGCCTTTTAGTGGGTAATCAGGGAAATGCAGTAAATAAGGCCATAAACTAAAGTAGCCCTGAGCTACTTTGAGTAGCTGTAATTTCAGAAAAGGGGCTGTGGTATCTCAGCTCCCTAAACTGCCTATGCTTTAACACAGGAGAGAAGGAATTAGCCCTAATAACTTCCTCACTTCACCTGGCTGCTTACTATAAAACTCATTATCCAAGACTTCAGCTCTCTGTTTCTGCTAATCTTAGACCTCTGTTTTACAATCATGAACGTCCAAAGCTGACCTTCCTTATCAGGTGGCTTCCACTACATATTTTATCAGATAGTGAGTTGGCTGTTCAACTTGTGGAAGGTAATTTACACGAAAGAAGCTACTATATGCACCTTCAGAGTTCACTTCAATTTGCATTATTTTCACCCCTATTTAACCTTAGTCCAGCAATTTTAAACAAACATATCCTTAAAGACATCAATGCAAATGTTACATGTCTCTGAGAAATCTTTCTCTAAAAATGGTAATAAAGGATTTGTGATAGAGTTTGCTATTCCTTTTCAAGCCTGTTTCACATACTGGAAGAATTGCTTTCAAGAATGTAGAGCCTAAAAAAAAACTATTAACTTCATTCCATGAAGAATGATGCAAATCCAACAAAGCTTGTTACTTTTTTTGACACTATACAGGAATGAAAATACAAAGAATGTCTATCACATATTTTAGCAGATCCTACATTACAGAGTCCTTAAGTGCATCACATTAGAGAGAAATTTGGTGCAATAATGCAACTTGGGAAACAAATGAGCAGCTGTACCCAAACACACTCAAATGCTACACCTATACATGTCACGTGAATGACAGAAATTCTCTACACAAATTCAGTTTTCAGAATATTCTATGGCTCAAATATATTTTGACACTTTACAGTTTGATAATATTTAGCATTCATCTTTGTATAATTTATCGGTGATAAAAAAATTGAAGTGCATTTCCTCTTTAACCCATCTTTTCCACTGTAGCTACATTTCAGCAATGATTTGATGAAACAAAAGATACTGATCTTTTTATTAATTCCTATCTCTCCTTACAAATAATCTCAGTTATATTTCCATTTCTTTGTAAGCAAATATCTGCTGCCCATATTCACCTTTAACATGAACAGGATATACAAGAACACAACACAGAAAAACAGATTTCTTGGTACTACTGCACAACTATTTAAAAACATATTTACACATCAGCAACATTACTACTTTTAAATTAAAAAAAAATCTTCATTGATTGGGAGGATGTGCTATGGCTTGTTAGAAACTTCAGTGTTCTCTGTGGCTTACACTTGCTTTTCCTATGTATGGAGAATTCAAATGACTGCATTCTCCTTTCCCTTTGTTTACATAATGTAATATCTCACACAAGCAGATATCTCACACAAAACAAGCAGGTATTTCTTTCAAGAAGGTTGTTGAAACACTATTGTTATAAAGACATTGATCATTTCTTTCCATTAAAAAAATCCTGTTCATGCTTGATTATGCAAGGCTAGTTTTTGAAAGTATCAGAGCAAATAAACCTTGATCAATATTAATTAGAAAAAAACATCCTACTATCCATTATGGAAGGGGAGCTTTTTTACTGCAGTGTCAGCATCCTGATCCTAAGTTCAGAAACCACACTTGGACTTTCTCTGCACCAGAAGTACCAAACGGCATTATAATATTTTCCCAAATTTGCTTTCTAGAAGCGATCTGGAAGGCGTTTTTTGTTATTTGATAAGATGTGCATCACGAAACTCTCCTAACCACACATACAGACACACCTCCCAAACACACCTACACACACACACACACACACACACGCACTTATTTTACAAAAGTCTTCGTTAAGCAAGTAGTCACAACACTGAATATCGTCTCCTATTTGTTCATTCATTATTCTTACATGATTTGTCACCACTCAGCCACTCAAAAGATGGTGATTTCATTCTTCTGAGAAGCTAGCTATGTTCAAAAGCAGCTAGATGACAATGGTGGTGTGATATAAATTCCAATAGAAATATGCATCATCCATCATATATCCAACCATCCTGAGAAACTTTCACTGGCAAATTCTCGTTACTTTCCAGAGGTCAAGGGGTTCCCATCAATAAATAGAAGGTCAGTGCAACAATGAGGAGCAAACAGAATGGAGAAGAGAAGGTCTGATAGGCAGCTGATGGCATGAAAATATCTTCATACTTGTAAATACTGACCACACGCTCTGATACAGGTGGTGAGTCTATATCGTGACGAGTTATAGAACCTTTAATAGGCAAGGGCAGAAAGAAATAACATCAGCTGCATTTGATTTCTAAAGATTTATCAGACAAATAGGTAGAAAGACTTAATTTTCATACACAGAAGAGCATGCAACATTACAATGTCAGTGAGTAGTTCTTGCTCTGATTTCTGAAATTAAACTTCTGAATAAAACAAATGACATTCAAGTAAACAATAATCATCCTTCAAAGGAATTCAGAACTTCCAGTTATGATCTGTCCTAATTTAAGTTTAGCTTTGGAGAGCGGGAACAATAGCTGCATAACCAAGAAAATATGATATGTAGGACTCTGCTAGCTATCTCACCTTCCTGTTTCTATATTCTTAAGACTGATGCTGCCAAAATTTTAATTCATTCAATATATAAGTAAGAATAACGTCACTGAAAAACATTTATCTATTTTGATACCTAAGTTGTCAGTAGCACAGATATCAACTTACCCTGAATTGCTGGACCCCAGGCAAACAGATAGTACCAATTCAAGTGCAGATCTACAATGGTTTCCTCTCGGGGAACGTATACAGGACGCTTGAATCGACAAGTTACACGATTGTTTTCAAAAACCCCCTCTTCATCTCTAGCAGGATTTCTCTGGATTTCTTTAGCCCACTGACCAACGTTGTAAAAGTGCTGTATTCGGACTCTTCCGTTATCATCATGAACACAAGCCATGACATCATCTCCTCCCTACATGGTAAAAACATTTTTGCAGAAGGAAAACAAGTGTCACAAAGCATCTCCTCATTTATTTATACAACTTCAACTATTAGAAACAGTCAAGACTTGGGTCTCTCACTCCCTTCTTCTAAGTTACAAATACAGATATTCTTTTCCCTAGAAATGTTTCTTCATTCAGATTGAACAGCACGGACTAAATACTAACAATTACTTATTCTCTCTGCATTCAACCTAACATACACAACACATTTATAAGGCATAATATCACCCTGACATCACACAATGGACGAGTAGAAGGCTATTTTCTTTCATAATGTGTGATTTTCTGGGATCTTGCTTCAGTAAAATTGGTGGTCTTGATTCCTTTATGTGTGCAAAATCTACTGTATCAGAATTGCAGACAGAAAAGCAATATAACTTAATAAGTTAGAGAAGATTAATCTACTAAATCTGTATAACTATTATCATAAACTACAGCCTGTCTTTTCTAATCTCATGTTCAATAATGATAATATAACTTCTCATTTATCTTAAGAGAAAATGATCAGCAAACAGTAACAATACAGAATATTGTAGAATACAAGAAAAGATTAATCTACTTGTGCCCCTTCCCATCGTATAAACTACCAATCAAAGAAACAAGGGATAGAAAAAAGTGTGAGGCACTTGTTTGTGTTAGTCATTTACAGAAACATTATAACAGTTGTTAGAATAGTTTATTTGAGGTAACTCAAAGTTGCAGAGCACTGCATCACTCAGGTATTAATTTTAGGAGCACTGTCTTGTAGATGCCTTGCTGTCATGAACCATTAAAACACTGCAAGTTTGATGCATGCACTACTAGGTATCACTGCTATGTTAGACATAGGTCCTACTCTTCCAATACAAGTCCTTCTGATAGGTCACACTGATGCCACAAGCAGTGCTCACTAGCGTGACCATCTGTCAGTTTGCTGTTATGGGGAAAGGAATGAAAAAGGGCACAGTGCATCTCTTAGGACTATGCCTATGAAGGCCTTTCTGTCCCTAGTATTATTGCAGGCTAACTTTCCAGCTTTGGTCTTGAGCCTATCATTGCTTTCAAAGTTTTTTTTTCAAAGTTTAATTTTTTCTTTGCCTCTGAGTACCAATCTCTCATTTTTAAGTACAAAGAGGCAAAACAAACAAGCAAACAAAATAACCAACAAAAAAACTGTTTCCACATTCAGAAAAAAAATTAATTCTGCACCTCATTTAACAAAATGACATTACAAAATCCTAAGCAGGCACAAAAGCTTATGAGTGGAAAACTGTAATGTTATCTGAGACAAAGAAATAGGTCACAGGAGTTAAAAAAATCTGACAACCCAAAAACACTATTTTTCCCTTGAACTTTTTTGGCTATCCAGGCTACAATGTTTTCATCAGGGCCTCCACGGTACAGCCCCTTTCTCACAGCAAAGCTTTTGTGATGTAAAGTCATTTTATCATTAAAGTATCCCAGATTCCACAACGTCTTCAAGCGAAGACAAGGGATGAGGTCAGCAGGGGAACAAGAGAGAAAGGCAAACACCAGCTGTTTTAGTCCAGCTGACCGGTAGTTCTCATATCAAATTTATAATGAAAATCTTTCAGCTTCCATTCTTATTACTGGAAGCTGTGACTTTACATGCAGTTTGGTCCATCCACCTGGGCTGAAAGGTAACGTATGCTTTAAAGCATAGCTAGTGTGTCCCAGGGACTATCATACTGTACAGACCTTCCAGCCACCAAGCACAAGCACAACTCTGTCTGCTCAGGCAAGCTCATGGGCTACAGCACACATCCTCATGGTTGGGAACTGTGCTTATGCCACCTGCCCTGCAGAAAGTCATGTTTCTGACTGAGGGCTATCGTGCAGGCAGGCTGAGTAGTTTATCTGCGCTCCTGAATAAAATGGGAGGGAGGAACTCAGAGAATATGATGGGGTCAGGGGTGGGAACACAAATGGGGCTGCATTGGATGAACTGCACTCACAGGCTGAATGGACCTGAAGTCATGGGACAGGTTGGACTGAGTGGGCTTGCAAGGGAGCACGGGGAGGGGAAGTGATAGTGCACTGCAGAGGATGGTTGAGAGGTGTGGCAGAGAGTCTGGCAAGATCACATTGAGAAGGTTTAACTGCACTTGAAAGCAGTTATTTCTCCAAAGTCTGACTAACCATTGAAATTCAATGTCTTTGCTTTGAGTGGTAGTACAGGTACACAGGTACAGGTAGTAAAGGAGTTACAAACTACTAACATAATCTCTAATAGCTTAGGGCCAAGTATTTAAAGTTACTGACCTGCTTTGAAAATCCTATTGACTACTTGTACTTTCCAGCATCCAAACTCCTCCTGGTATTTGGCTGTAAAACCATACCTCACAACACTCTTTATGATACAAAAGATTGCTCTCTCCATTGTGTTTATTTGCAGCATCATACTCAAGACATAGTTACCGATGAGAGAAAGGCACTGCCCTCATATTTTCTTTCTGATTCTCATTTTGGTCTGATAAAATGTTGCTAAGTTAGTGTGAGTCTTCCCATTGCCTCTCCCAGCTCTACAGCAGGATTTCCACGTTTTATACTTTTTCTGACTACTGCTTACCACTGAATAAGAAAGTACTCTCCTCTAACTAGCATTATAGAACACAGACTCAGTATTCTTCATGTACTCAGGAATATCTCTGCATGTGAAGACCAGTGTTATAAACTACATTTTAATCCTAAGCGTGTTACAAGGATCACAAAAAAAAAAACATTTGCAGAAGTTGTCTATTGCTCAGGTTTTTTTTTATGTCCAAACAGTATATGTGCCTCTTTGCCCAGCGAAACACAACGACAAATAAGGCTCTTCACTGAACAACCATGTAGATGAATGACCATAAAACAAAACTCAGTAAAATCCAGGAGAGATAGAAGAAGAAATCCTAACAGGATTGCTTTCTAGAGTATGTATCTGGGGGAGCAGTAGACATTTTGTCACATATTTGTGGCTTTCCTGGAATAAAACACAGAGATGAAAGAAACAACAGGATTCCCAGAGTTTTTAAATGAAAGCCATATTTGTATCAGCAAAAGACAGATGATTTACTTAAGAATGGAACTATGTGATATTTAGTTCCTGATGTGCCTTTTGTCCAAGTAACACCAACATGAAAAACTCAACAGGATATTATAATAAAAAGACAAAAAGCTAATAATATTCAAACAGTCAAAGATAAACCAAAACACTGTTGTACTATTTAGCAAAGAAGGGAAAGGACATGCTACTAAGGATGAGGCAGTTCTGAGGAGACAGCAGACCTAGCTTCTGCTCCCCGGTGACTACTGGGTACTTTGCTTTCAGCAAGTCAGTTTTTACATACGTGCTCTGCTTCTGACAGATAAAACATAAAGTATTGATATTCTGGCATGCAGAAGTGTTCACATATCAACGTGAAGAACTTTAAGAACCTTACCATTTTCTTGTCTGAGGAAAATCCCACTGCGACCCAGCCATCGGTATCAGCACTCAACTCAAATTCAACATCAGCTCCTATTCTACGATAACTTAGGAAGTAGTCACAGGTCTCTGCATTACAGCCAGGTTTGCCGTACCTAAATGGAAATGGAAAAACATGCAAACTTTGCCTTTCAATTTCTTGCTGTAGATATTATGTTTCTACAAGAAACACTAAAAGAATGTACTTTGGTAGAGTGGTGGTAAAGCACAAATCACACTAAACTAAAGTAGTACTGTTAATTGCTTGCAAATATTACCTTTTTGGAATAAGAACATATTATGTTTAATCGTAATGACAAGCAATTACATACGCACAGTGTTACTGTGTTGAAATGCCGAGTCCCTGTTCTGTAAGTTAGCGCTTCAAGAAAATGCAAAGATCATAAATTAATCTAGTCCACAACTCTGATGTCCTTAAATAATCTCATTTACTTAAACAAAACAGTCCTACACTATAGAGTAGGTTCCCAAATAAGAAAAAAATATTCAAATGAATACGGAACATTGATCAAACTCTTGAATGCAATCAGTCAACATTTGCAAATGTAAAGGTACCTGCATTTTTATCAAAGACTGACCTGAAGCATCCCTTCGTTTTTCCACAGTCATCCACTCTGATTTTTGCAAATGGATCCACAGGAGGTGCAGTAGGGAAAGGGTAACCTGTAGAATGAGAATAAAGCATAACCAAAAAGATACAAGGAGAAAAAAGAAGTAACACTGAAGAGAAAGAGTTCCAATAGTGTTTACTTTGACTGGTGATAACTGAGCTGTACTGATGAGGGACTACCTTGTCACAGACACAGGCCCTCTATCAGTAGGTCCAGGATTGAGATACTAAAATAACATAGAGAAATGAAAACATTTCCTCAGGTTTGCAACATTCTCCAGGTGGGGGAGAACAGCGCTGGAGCACAACTTTGCTACAATGAGAGCAGGAAGCCTTCCACTGACCATGTAAGCTTTGGCAGCACGAACATGGAGCAGAGCATTCAGCTAAGGCTTGGGGCTCTCCATTCGGCTGGCTCTTCGTGCATGCTTGGATCCCTCGGAATATCTGAAAGGGAGAGAATTCTGACTTCTCAGCTTTAGGAATGGATACTGAAGGGATACTTTCTCCTTTAAGAAGTACAGAAAACATGCATTGAGTGTGGAAGGGAAGAGTATCAAAACAGGCAATGCCTGCAGCAATGACCTACAATCACTTGTGAGGTAAGGCACAGAGGAGACAGATAAGGAAGGATCTATGACTCCAGGCAATAGCTTATCTGCTCTACTGTAATACACTGAAGACATGACATGAACATCTGCAAGCAGACCTTTCCTCTCATCGAATCACAGAATCATTAAGGTTGGAAAGAACTTCTAGGATTATCAAGTCCATCCCCACCATGCCCACTATGTCCCTCAGTGCCACATCTATATATTTCTCAAATACCTCCAGGGACTTCACCACATCCCTGGGCAGCCTGTGCCACTGCTTCTACACTCTTTCTGAGAAGAAATCTTTCTTAATATTCAACCTGAATCTCCCCTGGCGCAACTTGAGGCCACCACTTCTCATCTTTTTACATAGATTTTACAAATAGCCACCTTCAGTTTTGGTTCATCTAACCTGCAAGTGGGAAGGTTCTGTGTTCTTTTCATCATGTCAACAATGCACACCATAGGTTTTACTGTGAAAAACTTTCAATATTAAATATATGTTTTTCTCTGCAGATTGGTTTTGGATTGCAGAGGTTCAGTTTCGTTCTATGAACATTGGTATTTTAATGTGATTTTAGTCTGCCAACTTAAAAACAAAGCATTAAGTTGTGAAGCCAGAAAGTGCTCTGAAAGTTGCAGGCTGCAGCATCTCCAAACAAACAGGAGCATGTGCCCTGCCCCCCAGGCACTGGGCTCCAGGAGCCCTGATTCACCTTCTAGGTGAATCTGATAGTGCTAAAGGAGAGAGGAAATAGGCCACAACCCGCAAATTATAGCTTCCATTGGCCACACCATGAGCTAGGTAAAGCAGTCAGCTGGTTTAAGCATACAAAGCTAGCAACATTTCACAGCAGTTCATAGTGGAGCATCAGCACGAGACTGACTGTAGTACATCCCACCTTCTCACTGCTTCATTTTTTCCCACTTTATCCAAAATCTGTTTCGAAAAAGAAAAACGCGGCCGAATTTCTTGCCAGTCACGCCATCACACGGCTTTTTAACAATCCGATAAACCCCTCCATCACTCTTCCGTGCCGTCTCCCACACGACCGAGCGGCCGAGCATCGCACGCCGGCCGCCGCCTCCCACTGCCCTCGGCCGGGCCCTGAGCCCGTGCCCCGCCGCCCTTCGCTGCCTATGGGCCCGCAGACCCGAGGCGGGGAGTCCGCCGAGCCCGGTGCGGCGCGCGGCAGCCCGCGCGGCGGTGGCTGCGGGCAGAAGATGGCGGCAGGCGCTGGCCTTCGTCCTGAACGCCGCCGCCGCCGCCG